AAAAAAAAAAAAAAAAAAAAAAAAAAAAGAAAAAAGAATAAATAAATAATAGAATTAAATATTAAAATTTGATGTAATAGAAATTAATAATAAGATTTTTAAAGGAAAATAAATATATAATATAAAATTATATTTGTATTAAAATATATATAATTAGTGAAATTAAAATTATGATTGCATTTTAACTTCATACTATCCCTAATATTTGTTAATAGAAACTAGTAAATCAGCAAAATTGACATTCCTTATAATACATTTTTCTTTATGTGCATAAGCCTTAAATTACCAAATTGAAAGTATGTACACAGTATTTTCTTTTTTTTTTTTTTTTTGTGAAATAATAACTTGTGTATATTTTTATTTTTTTTTAACGTTCAATTTTATATTTAACTTCAAAGTATAATATTTATATGATAACATATAATGATAAACAAAAATACTAATAATATTTCTGTCAAGAAATTATTAATAAAAAATTGAAAAAAGTTTTAAAAAATAATTTTTTTTTTCCACATATAAAATTAATGTTTTTATCATGTTATATATACTAAAGAAATAAAATAATTTTTTTTTAAATAAATTTTTAATTTTTTTTTTTTTTTTTCAAAACAAAATACCTTGATAGTATATTTAAGAAAAAAAAAATTGTGTAAAATTTTCAAGGTTACATATAATTTATTTTTTTTCTATTCAACTTTTTATTTAATTTAATTACAAGTATGAATACATATAAAGATTTTAATAATGCAATAGATCAAAAAAAATTATTGGATGAATGTATATTTGTTGTTAAAGAACAAAGTTTTTATATGAAACAATCATTGGTAAGTAATAAAAAAAAAAAAAAAAAAAAATGAAAGAAAAAAAAGAAAAAATAAAAAGAGTAATCATATGAGAATACAAAAAAAATTCCAACAACATGAGTCCTTTTAATAATATTTTTTTTAATTAATAACTATTAATAAGCTTTAAAAATTTTAAAAAAAATATTTCTGAAATTAGACATTTTCATTTTTTTTTTTTTTTTTTTTTTTTTTTTTTGTATATATAGGAAAATGGATCATTAAGAGATACATTAAAATATGCATCAAATATGTTGTGTGAATTGAGAACATCTCTGTTATCCCCTAAGTATTATTATGAATTGTATATGATAATATTTAATGAATTACAGCATTTAGATAATTTCATAAGTGATAAAAAGAAACATAAAAAAAAATTTATTGATATATATGAAAGTGTTCAACATGCAGGCAATATTATTCCACGTTTATATTTATTAATAATTGTTGGTAGAAATTATATAAAGAATAAAGATATTAAAGCAAAATACATATTAAAAGACATGACTGAATTGTGTAAAGGAATTCAACATCCACTAAGAGGTTTATTTTTGAGATATTTTTTAATACAAATGTGCAAAGATAGAATACCAGATACTGGTAGTGAATATGAAGAAGCTGGGGGTGGTAATATTGATGATGCTTTTGAGTTTTTATTAACAAATTTTTATGAAAGCTTAAAATTATGGAGTCGTATGAATGATAAAACATTAAGGATACCAAACTTGCCAGATGAAAATGTAGTTAATAATAGAATAAAAGTTTTAAAAGACAAAATGGATGTTAAAATGTTGGTTGGATCTATTTTAGTAAGAATGTCACAATTAGAAGGTATGACAACACAATACTATATCGAAAAGTGTTTACCAAAACTGTTGTTGTATTTATCTAATATAAATGATTCTTTAATACAACAATATATTTTTGAATCAATTGTACAAGTTTTCAGTGATGAATGTCACATATATAGCTTAGAAACATTATTAAATGCTGTTTTAAAAATAAATAGTTCTTTAGATTTTAAAAGTATCCTTATAACATTATTAAAAAGATTAAGATCTTTTATTGAATCAAATAAATACGAATTTCCAAAAAATGTTGATATTTTTAACTTATTTTATGATCATCTAATTTTATATGTAAATAAAACTTTGGATATTTACGCAAAAACTAAGTATAATTCAAGTTATGAAAATGCAAAAAAATGCAAATTAAACAATGGAAATATAGAAAATTTGAAAAATTCTGATAATGATGATGTTTCGCAAAATAACAATAATTTTAATGATATAAATAGTAATATTAATAATTTAAGTAGTAATTTAAATAATACCATAAATAATAACAATAATGAAATAAAATATAATGTAAATGATAATGCTAGTATTATAAATAGTGAAGAATGTGTACAGAATGTAGTAAAAATGCTACAAGTTATTTATGAATTTATATTTTTATGTATTCGCATATATAACGATATAAGCATTAGTAAATTATTTGTATTACCATATACAGTTGTTTCAAATGTATGTTTAGATAATGATTTGATATGCGAACAAGTAATTAGTATTATTGTTCTTCCTTTTAATTATTTAGGTTTGAATGCTTTAAATAGTAAAGATATGCAAAAATTATTAAGTAGTGTTAATGAAAAACATAAAAAAAAGTTAAGTCTAGATATAATAGATGCTATAATAGAATGCAAAAATAAATCTATAGTTTATGAAGACGTAGAAGAAGTTCTAAAATATATTTCTTCTATATTTCATGATGAAGAAAATAAGGATGATGTGTTTAATTTAGAAAATAATTCAGCATATACATCTGAGAAATTATGTAAATTTTTTCATATTATAACTAATACTAATGATATTGAACAAAAATATAATATATGTATGTTATTTTATAAATATATTGCAAATAGTGGTTATCTTATACATTTATTGCCAACAATTATATTTAGCATGTTGAATTTAGTTACATCAATAACAAATTTAGTAACTAATCAATCAGAAAAGAAAGAAGATACATATGATGATTTAATTGAAGATAAAAATGACAGAATTTCTAATAATTTAATAACAGATTATCAAAATGATATTTTAGATGAAAAAAGAGTAAATGAATATAACATTTATGTTAAAAATATTTTTAAATTTATTCATACTAATCTTCTATCAGTATCTAGTAAAATTCCTATTTTAGCTTTCAAATTATTTTTATATAGTGCTGTTGTAGTGAATAATTATAATAGTTTTTTACAAGCGTATCATTATATATCTTTTGATAATTTAGAAGCAATATGTTATGAATTTATTACACAACCTTTAATAATTTACGAAGAAGATATAAATATATCATCACAACAATTCGATTGCATTACATGGGCGATTGGAATTTTGTGTTCATATATTACATTACTTGAAAATGAAAATTATGATAATATTGCTTTAAAACTAACACAACATGCAAATAAATTATTAAAAAAAAAAGATCAATGTATTGGAGTTTTACAATGCTCTCATTTATATTGGGAAAATAAAAAATATCGAAATAGTAGTAAAGTTTTTGACTGCTTACAAAAAAGTATAAAAAATGCTGATATAGCTATACAATCAAATAGTGATAATATATATCTATTTGTATATATGTTACAAAAATATGTATATTATTATGAAGCAGAAAATATTGAAATCACAGAGGACAATTTGCATTATTTAATAGGTATATGTGAAGATTATTACAAACAATCAAATAGTGATAATATTTTTAAACAAGAATATAAGCAAATTGTTAAGTATATATATGAAAAAAAAAAGAATTCAAATTTATTTCTTAAAATAAATGTAGACACATCTATTTTACTATGAAACTAAATAAATAATTTATATATAAATATATACACTTAAAAATATATTACGTAAAAAGGTTATTTATAATAAGTATAGATAAATTAAATAGCTATGAAATTATTAGGTAATAAATGTCCATAATATATATGATATTTATTTAAACAATCTATTAAATTTATATATATTTCCGAATTAAATAACTAAATTTTGAAAATATTAAATCAAGCAATTTAGAAGGGAGATTTTAAAAGTTTTTTTTTTTTTTTTTTTTTTTTTTTTTTTTTTTTTGTTATGTTTAAAATATATGATTTTTGTTTAAAAACTAAAAATATTAACTCTTATAAATTTCTTTTTTTTATTTCTTTTTTTTTACTATTTTGTATTAATTTCATTATCATTGTTTATAATTTGGATTTATTTACATTTATTTTTTCCATATAAATTTTGATAACTTTTGAACAATTAATATTTGGAGACTACAATTCTTTTAAAAACTAAATTTTGAAATTATCAAAAATATTATTTTACTTTTTAGATCTTTTCTGTTGCTTATTTCTACTCCTAATATCTTTCTTTATATTGTCCAATTTATTAATATCTACAAAATATTTTTTTTTACTTTCATCATCCAACTCTCTACATACTTTAATACCCATGCTATTACATGTTCCTTAATAAAAAAAAAAAAAAAAAAGAAAAGAAAAATAAATAAAATTGTGACGAAAATGAAATTCCGTTATATATGCTTCATATTTTTTTTTAATAATACCAATAATATATTTGCATATGCTTTTTAGAGATAAATTTATCAATGGAGGATCCATACGTTTACATTTAGCAATATGAAAAACCTATTTATTTAAATATTAATAAAATAAATTATTATATTTAAAATTTGCGTGAAAAAAAGTTAGAAGAAATAAAAGAAGAAAAAAAAAAAAAAAAATGAAAATAATTTTAAGATATTTTTTTAAATATGGAATAAAATTTTTATTAAATAAATTAATAAATAATTCAAATAGTAAAATTATCAAATATATATATGTTACTTCAGCTAAGGTAATTGAACCAACAATGTGATGTTTTGGAGTTGAACTAAACATTGGTACTCTAGCACATCTTCTTATAAACCAAACAACACTAGGTGTTCTTAAGTAAAATCTATATGTTCTGCAAATATTTAAAAAAAAAAAAAAATTCTAAAATAATCAAGTACAATTTTATTTATTTTTAAGACAAATAAATTATATAGTTTTCTTAAAAAAAAAAAAAAAAAAAAGAAATTATATCAATAAAATTTTTATTTTATACTAATACATTAAATATTATAAAGTTAGAAATTATTTAATAGTTATAAAACCTATCATTTAAAGGCTCCAGAGTAACTTGAATTGGAACATTTTTTGATATATTTTTTGTTCTCTCATTGAATTCTTTAAAAAACGTCATCATATTTATACCTATGATTTTTCATATTATAAATATTGATATATATATCAAAATTAAATAAACTTTTTTTCATATTAATATATACTTAGAGTAAATTTATTAATTACATATTTGCTAATATATTTTTATATTTATATGCTTAAACCTAATGGGCCAAGAGTTTGACCAATACTTGGACTTGGTTTTGCAGAACCAGCTAAAACAATTAAGTTAAATCTTCCTATTCTAGACATTTTTCCTAAATTAAAAAAAAAAAATAAAATAAATAAATAAAAAATAATATATATATATATATATATATATATAATGTTCTTTGAATATATAATATAATTTAATCTACATTATATCACAGTTTTTAATATATAAATATTTTTTATTGTATTTTTAAGATTTTACCAATTAAATCTTTTTTATTTAATATTATTTTTCAGCATTTCTATATTATATCCATATAAAGCTTTTATTTCTTCCAAGTTATTAAAACTCTCTTTTTCTTTAATTTTTAAACATATAAAATCATCTGTATGCATAATTTCTCATTTATAATTTAAAATAACATTATAATTAATATATACAAATCTTTTATAAATAGGTTTTTATTCTTTTTTATTCCTTTTTAATAATACTTATGTAAAATTTTTATTCTCTATTATTTTGAAAAATATATTTTTTTTTTTTTTTGTAATTTTTTTTTTTTTTTTTTTTTCTTAGATATTTATAAATATCTATTATTTAAACCTCATATTTATTTATTTATTTTTTTTTTTTTAAACTTATGCATTTCATTTATACACCTATTTTAAAATAAAAAATATAATTTATGAACCATTTTTTTTTTAATTATGAAATTTCTATAAAAATTGTAAAATAGTTAATCGTTTCCATAATTTGTGTGTAAAAGATGGTAGAGAATAGAAAAAAAATATATTTTAATAATACTAAATACATTTTTGTAAGTATTTTAAAATTAAAGTGTGTTAATTTTCATTCTCTTTTTTTTTTTTTTTTTTTTTGTTTCTTTTTTTCTTATTATCTATATTTATAAAATTAACTTAAGTTTCATAAATTTTATAATTTTTGAATGGTTGCATTAATATAAGTACATACATGTCTGTGTTTATATTTTTCACTATTAAAATTTATAAATATTTTAATTTTTTTATTTTTTTATTTTTTTTTTTTTTTTAATTTTCCATTTAGCAGTTATTTATCTTTTAGCTATTATTTTTTTTTATTTTTTTGAAAATATACAATTATGTGTATTTACATAAAGTAAAAATTAAATTATTAGTTACATCATTCCTTAAAATTTTAATATATATAACCATAAAGTATACATGCACAGATAGATGGATAATCAAACGATTATAATTGACAATGGATCAGGTAAATATTATTAACAATAACCAAATTGAAAAGATATATTCTTATAATTAAAACAGAAAAAAAAAAAAAAAAAAAAAAGTGAAATATATATAAATTTTTATAGAAAATTTTAATTATTTTTTTTTTTTTTTTAGGTTATATAAAAGCTGGATTAAATGCATATGAGGAACCTTCTATAATATTTCCGACATTAATTGGAAATCTTCGACATAATGAAAATCCTGAGACTTTTGTTGGAGATGATGCAATTTATCATGAATCAGAATTGTCAATTTATCGTCCAATTGATCATGGGCATATAAGTGATTGGGATATGGCACAAAAAATTTGGGATTATACATTAAATTGCATTGATAAAAATAAAAATGCGAAAGACATTTTATTAACAGAACCTCCTTTATGCTCAACTTCTCATAGAACAAAAATGGGAGAAATGTTTTTTGAATATTTTGATTTTTTAAATTTGAACATTTCAGTGTCAGGTTTAATGTCTATATATGCTGCTGGGTTAACAACTGGTTTAGTTCTAGATGTTGGGGAAGGAGTAACACAGTGTTTACCAATATTTGATGGTTACATTGAAAAAAATTCAGTTATACGTTCAGACTTTGGTGGAGAAGAATTAAGTATGTTTTTACAAAAATTAATATGTGATATTGGATATAGTATGACAACAAGAAAAAATTTTGAATATGTTAAATCAATCAAAGAAAACTTATGCTTTTGTTCATTAAATCCATCACAAGATCAACTAAGAGATGACTTATCAGTTACCTACACTTTACCAGATGGGGATGTTCTAAGAGATGGTTATGACACCATAGAAATATCTCATGAACGTTTTTATGTTCCTGAGGCTTTATTTAATCCTCAATTATGTCATAGAGATAGTTTAAGTATTGTTGATATTATATGGAAATCAATTTTATTATGTCCAATTGAAAATAGAAAAAGCTTATCTAGTTGTATTGTCCTTTCAGGTGGATCTACTTTATTTCCTAATTTAGTAGAAAGGATTGAAACTGAAGTAAAAAATAATGCCCCAGCAAATGCAAGATCTGCTGTAAAAGTAACTTGAAAAAATTAAGTGATAAAGTAGTTTTTACATATTTATACTATTTATATTATTATATATATATATATATGTATATGTATATGTTTGGTTTATGTATAATAAAAATAAAAAAAATATATTCTGAAAATATTTATATTATTATATATATATAATATGTATTATATTATTATTTTTTTATAAAAAAAAAAAAAAGGTTTATGCACATGAAAAAAGAGCTGTCATGGCTTGGTGTGGTTCAAGAATATTTTCACAACCAGAATTAAGACAAGCTCAACAAGGCTTATGGATTTCAAAAGATGAATATGATGAAATAGGAGAAAACATTTTTTTAATAAAAGTAGGAAATAAAAAAAAAAAAAAAAAACATGAAACAATTTTATACATTACCATATATTATTCATGTGACATATATATATATATATATATATACTAAATATTATTTATATGTCTAATACATTTTTATTATGTCATTATAATCTTTATACATTTTTAAATAGCACATATATTTACGTGAACACCTTTCATATATCATAATTTCTTTATTTATATCTAATATATTTTTTATATTATTTTTAAAATAAATTTATATATTTGCCAATATTTTTTGTACGATTTTTTAATATATATATATCTCCAATTTCTTTAGTTAATTATCTTTCACTTTTTTTTTTTTATTCCTTTTAAATTTTTTTTTTTTTTTTTTTTTTTTGCCTAAAGAATGTTTATATATCTTTCATATAACATATTCACTTATTTTTTTTTTTTTTTTATTTATAGGCAACTTTAAAACTAACCTAATCCAAAATTTTGTTTTATGTTATTAAGATTATATTCCTTTATTTTTTAGTATAATTTTTATCCTTTTTTTCAATTTTTCCTTGCTATAAAAAAATTTAGGATGTATTATTTATTAGCACATATTTAAACAAATAAAATTCAAATTTCCTAATTTTTTTTTTTTTTTTTTTTTATTAATATATAACTTGTTCTTTTATAATATTTTCTATTTTTAAATTGTAGACTCCTCTCTGAGCCTTTGTTGATACTAAATGGTGCAAATTCTTTGCAACTTTATGTATTTTCATATCTTTTAATTTGTTTTCATATATCTGTTTAAAAATACATATATTTTCTTGTTTTTTGTTTATATAAAGTTTTTTCACGTTCATAAAATATGGACGAATAGTGTTGAATGCATTAAAAATATATAAAGGATGAACACTAATGATGATAAAAATGTGTTAATCATACTAATTGCTTCTTTCTTTTTTCCTCTAGTTCTAAAAGCATTTTACTTTTTTTCTCATTAACCTATAAGCATTAAGTAATTATAAAAATTATGTTTATTTCATACTTTTATAATTATTGGTTTTTTTTTTTTTTTAATCATATGAATTTTTTACATAGTTGTCAATTTCAATAATTTGTCTTTTTCTCTTAAAAAAATCGTGAATATATTTTCTCGAATAAAAACCACGGAAACTATACATATCCATATACAAAAATTACACCGTTATAAATAATAACCAATTTAGGAAAAACATACATGTTTTTTTTTTTTTATTTTTTTATTATTTTATGTATTTTACGTTTTTTGTATTTTGATAGCATTATCTGACATATACATGATCATTTGTTGTTCTAATTTTTGTTTCTTGAGATTTTTTAACAAATATTTGCAACTACATAGCTGTATTTTATGTTTAATGTATTTTATAAAATATCTAATATAGAAGAAAAAAAATTTATTCGTTATATATATAAAAAAAAAAAAAAATACACTTTCTTTAAAAATCATTTTATTCAAAAAAAATATTATACTTATAAATTAAATAAGCTCTTCTTTCCTTATAACCTCTGTAATATTTCTGTATTACTATTGCTGCTAATTTTTCCCTTTTTTCATTTTCTTTTTTTTCTCTATTAAATATTAATATATTTCATTAATTTTAAAAAGAAAAATGTGATATAATTTTGTTATTATAACCTTAAAAGTGCTTTATATTCATAAAATATATTCATATATTTTGATAATTTTATAAACATCATTGTTTTATTTTCTAAAACTCTTAAATATACATTAAAAAATGAATACCTTAAAAAACAGAAAAAAAAAATTAAAAAACTATTTCAAGTTTTCCTTAAAAAGTAAAAATAAATATATATGGATCAAATGCTGTTAAATAAAAATTAAAAATATATGGGGAAAATTGCAAAAAAAGTAAAAGTGAAAAAAATATATTTTTCTTGATATATTTTAATTAAAATTAATAAAATTATAACTTATGGAACAAGCATATATATAAATGCACTTGTCTAAAAATTATGTGACAAACATTTTTTATTAAGAAAATAAAAATATAAATATATCAAAACATAAATTAAATTTACAAAAA